CATCTTATTATGAAATAACAACAGAAAGAGTAATAACAATAATAGTAATCATTATAAGCCATAGATGATAAAGATTCTGATGGGAGTTTGTGGGAGGAAGATATAAAAAATAGAAGATGAAAACTATCATCTTCATGATGATGATGATGATGATGATGATGATGAGACCAGTCAATGTCATAATGTTGTATCCATTAACTTTGATCTGTTCAATTGGCTGGTGATGATCATTCACGATGATTGACAATGTTACCCTGAAAAAAAAATCTCCACATGAAAGAGAAGCCAAAAATTATATTGAGATGATGATCATCATCATGAAATCCCTCAGAACCACACCCAATCCCCTTTCTCTAAATCTTTTTAACTCTCTTCAAATCTGGATTATAATAAAATCATGATTAATAAATCAATCGGGATAATGATAATTGTTGCAAAGATATGAATCAAACTGATAACTAGGAATGAGGTTAAACCAATTGACCGACTAACTATTTGCTATTTATTATCATTGTTGTTTATTATTATTACAAATGCAATTTAGTTTTTATTGTTATTATCATCATTATTATTTGTTATCATCACAATTATCATAATAATAATAATCATCATCATCATAATCTTCATCAGTTACCTTGTGGCTCATCATCAGGTTACCAATTTAATACAACACTTTTTAGATTTGATTTTCCAATGAAAATATTTTCCAATGGTTGATTGTTGATGTAACTATTGAGGTGGACCATTTTCTCCAACAATTAACTTTAATTGTTATCCTTTAATTGTTGATCAAACTTTTTAGTGTAAAATATTTTCTCTCTCATAATAATAACAGTTACTCCATCTAAGAGAGTTCAGATGAACTTTTCTTTATGGATGAATATTTGTTGAATCTTTTTTTCTTTCCCATAAAATCAATACCATGAAAGGGGAAGATATTAAGATGATGATGATGATGAAGGGTTAGAATGAACATTTTATCATCCTTTTATTGTAGCTCACTTATCATCTTCTCTCCTTCTGTTTCAATTGTTTCTTCATGTGAACTGAATTATATCTTGCACCTCCTCCCATCGAGCAATATTTTCATTCAATAAAAATAATAATCATCATGATAATAGTTTAACATGGAGTTAAACAGAAACAATAATAAGCTTTGAGAATAAGAAAATTTCGAGTAATAATATTGAAGATAAAGTTTTTCTTCTTGTTATTTTCATCGATTCATTTCATGGAAAGAAAAGAGATAGAATATTGGAATCGATTTTTTCCTCTCTCTCTCTCTCTCTCTCTCTCTCTCTCTCTCTCTCTCTCTCTCTCTCTCTCTCTCTCTCTCTTTCTCATTGCTTAACACTTCTCTTAATCATCATCTTATCATATTCTTACTCTACTCATCATCTTACCACTATCAACTCCTTTGGTGGTTCTTAACCTTCAGTTCATGATAATACAATATATTTATACAGATATATTGTTATCCATGATATTTTATCATGAATAAGTTTCAATGTCTACTCAATGATTGAGTTCAAGTTGAAGTTAAATGTTGTATACACATGATACTGTATGATCAATGGAGGGATGAGTTGGATGGTGGGTTTGATGATGAGAATGATATTTTATCATCAATGTATTCAGAAAGATTATGGTTCAAGTTCTGGGTGAATTTCAATTCCCATGGTAAGTGTCAATCAAATAAACAAACAACTTATCAAGTTTGTTGAATAATTTTGTTTCTGGTTAGTTAAACAAATACCAACTAACCATAAGATATCATGAATATCATATATATAAATTTTTTTGCATCATGAATTTGAAATGAATTTCATGTAATGTTATTCTGAAGCGATGGTTATTACTATTGTAATGATTACTTGAAACGCAATCAAAGTTGATTGTTGTGTTTATATGTTACCATGAATTGTAAGCTAATAGTTATATGGTAATGTTACCATATCAGATTATTATTATCATTCTGATGATGATGATCATCAGTGTGTTTGATAATGATAAAATTGCCTAAGGTGATGAATCCATGATAATGTTATTTATTCAGAATCTGAACTTTTATCGTGTAAATTTTCAGCGTAGGGATGGGGAGAGAGAGAGAGAAGGAAATATTTTTATCCCATGTTGGAAAACCAATTTGCTGTTCTGCCAACAATTAAGGTTTTCCTCATGAGTTCATGGTTGAGGAAAGGAGGAAAAGGTTGATGATAGGGAGATGAATTCTGTAAGGGATGAGGATGAAAAGGTGGATGATGAGTAGTTACAGTTTAGTGAATTGGAGGGTGAATTTATTTTTGTGTCAATAATTTTCTTGGGAATAAATTATTGAAACTGAATTTTTGTTAACTGTTCATTGGTTTGAATGAGAAACTGTTTCCAGATTAAATCAAGTATTCAAATTTTTGTATCTTCCTTAGAAGAGAGAGAGAGAGATGGACACTTGTATGATGAGTATGAGGAGGAAGATATTTCTAGAGATATTCCTCTGAATGAATTAGACAAGAAGATAAAAATGTTCATCATGTTGATTTTCCGTGTTATTATTATATAATCTCTCTCATTTTCTGATATTATAACAATTTTGATTGCAATTAGTCAAGACTCTTTAATCATCATCCCTCGTCTTCAATCTTCATCATTATATTTGAAAATTGTATTATCATCATTATTTGTCCTTTTCCTGATTCCTTGTCATACAAACTCAACTTGAATTCATCTACAGTTAATTAACCGTTTACATCAATTAGATTTCCAATTACAATTTATTTTCTTCTTTCAATTTATCCTCTGTCTCTCTGTTTCATCTTTTTTCTTTCACTTCCGGTCAATTAGATAAAAATTTTGAGTCATCAATTTGTATGAGCTCCATTCTCAATATACTGATTTGTGAGTCATAATTGTCACCTATTAATAGTTGTGATTAGATTGATAAGTTTAATTATGAAAATCAACTACATTTGATTTGAAAATAGCTATGCTTACATGATAGTCGATTCAATAGACTCTGTCCAATATTATTCATAAATTATAACACTTTTATCATGATATTATGAATATTCATCTAAATAAAATAAGAGCCCATCAATTATCATACCAATAAGATGGTGAGAAGTTATTAATAAATGTAACTGTAAATGAGTTTGATGAATGATGATGTTTGAATTGTTGATTGTTGGTTAACCCAAACTACTGATAGTCAAACTTGAAATAACAATTGGCTGATTAATGAACATAGAACTGATCACTTTACCTCATGATGATCACGATAAACTAAAACTTATTAGAATTAGGAAACTTGAATGAATTTTCATTCTACCCTGTGATTCATCATCATGAACATGATTGAAAATTCTATCGAACTTTTTCCCCTTATCTTCTTCTTCGAGTTCTAACAGTAAATTTTTCTTCTCACTCAAGTTTAAAACTCGACTGGGAATTGAATAAGAAATGATATCAAATGCTGAGTTGACACTGAAACAACTAAGTTGGTTGTGGGTGAAAATAACAGTATTCATAAAGAGATGATGAAGATGATAACAATTGTAATATAATACATGAGACAATCTAATGGTTTGAATGAAAATCATAACAATAATAATAAATTGCTCACGAAAAGCATTTAAAATCGTAAGAGAAATCGAGAGAAAAAAGTTCTGGAACAAGTTGTCGAGGTGAAAAAAAACTCGAAAAGATGAAAGTGGAGAAAAAAAGTTCTAATCTTATTCTCAGGGAGAAAATTTTGAAAAATTCGCAAAAAACTGAAAGCAACGGCAAGAAAAAGTTCTAATATTTATTACATTTCATATTTCATTTATTTGTTTCCATTATCATGATGATGATCAGAATATTATCTTTATTATCATCAGAACTTTTTTTATCTCTTCTCATCGAAGCTTAAAATTTTTTCTTTGGCTTGAAAATTTCGTTGAAAATTAATTCTGAAAACTTCTAACGGACATTTTAATTGTAACCATATTAAGCCAATCATGATGTTCATGATGATACATTGATTAGATGATTTGAATTAGCAATTTAAAATTAACGATAGAAAATGAAAAATTGAGTTAACATGACAACTTGAAAAGTTTTTCTTAATGGATGACACATACTCTTCAGTCTTCATCTTCATCCTCATCATCTACACCTCTTGTCTTAATGGGTAATAAGTAGTTGTCTTCATCATCATTCCAATGACATAAATATTATCTTCCTTTTTGGAAGGAAAAAGTTCTTTTCATTTTTTTTTCGAAAGAAAAAAATATAACTCAACTCTAACTGTCTCATCTGATTTCTCGATAATTTATTGTGATTGATGTAACTTTATGTTGCATTTTAAGTGTTATCATGTTTTCAGAGTCAGAATTTTCTCTCCATGAAATATTTTCGGCTGAATGTTGAAGGTTCAAATAAACATATTGAGTTGGAATTTTGTTACTCTGATAAAAATAGAAATTAAAAGTTTCTTTTATTTTCCTCTCTTTCTCTGGTTTCATGATGGTAATTTACTCGCAATTTACATGTTAAATTGTTGTTTTTAAGAATCTTGTTAATCATTCATCTTGTTTCTTGTTCTGTTGATTTCCGGCTCTAAATTATGTCTCTTTAAATTGCTCTGATCAATTTTCTTCAATGATTGATTAATTTGGTTGGAAAAAAACTTCCACTTTAGAAAATTTATCTATTTATCTTTTATACTTATCCTTCTCATACTTCTCGTTGATTTGTTGAGTATTGAAAAAAAATTATTGAACCATCAACAATTTTGGGAAAAATTAATGACTTTGTTATCTAAAAATACTTTCTCTTAGTTTACAATTAATGGAGAAACGTAATTTAAACTTCGCGCACTTTTAGAGACTCGAATCCAGAAAATACCCAAACCCTCTGAGTTAGATACAAGTTAATAGTTGATTAATTGTTAATTGTTTGATTATAAAAAGAAATTAAAAATTTTTAATCTGATTGAAAGCGAATTCTATACCAGCTATTTAGCTTTCTAATGATTTTTCCTAATTCCAAAATGATTTAACCTTCGAAATCGGTTGATTTTCTTGGTATCTGGTTGAATATCTGATCTTTTATTTGGATCTTTAAAATTGTTAACCAAATGTTTTGATTGTTTACATTTTTGATTATTTTTTTGAGTTTCTTTGATTACTTGCAATCAATTTATTTGTTTTGAATTTCTTTTCGTCATGTTACCCTGTAGATTGAAGGTTCTAATGGGATCATTAGAAAGCTGGTCTAATCTCTTACGTCCTTGTGCCAGTGAATTGGTGAATTTCAATCAAAATAGAAACATGAGAGTCTGGAAGACTTGGCCCAACAATTGGATTCCATTTGATTGGAAAAAACCTGAACCTCAACCTGGATTCTTCGAGTCGGGTGATCGTAAAGAAGGTTTAGATAAATTCGATCTCGATCAAATCAAACCAAATCTAAAGAATCTTGAGATTCTTAAAAAGTAATTAGTTTCACAGTGATTCTATTCTTATGATGTTAATTTGTTTCTCTTTTCTTTTATTCTAGTGCACCAGAATCGGTCAAGAAATTGTATACCCTTAGATTTGCTCGAAGAGTAAGAAATCAAATCAATAGTAATTTAGTAAATCTCTCCTTTAATTAATCTCTTTCTCCTTTTATCCATTTACTTCAGAGAGAATTGAAAATTCTTCAAAATTCCTTATACGAATCAAACTTACCAATACGAAGACGTTTGTTGGACAAAAATGAATATGAAAGAAAAGGTTAGCATTGTTGACAATTTAATTCTAATTCCTATTGATTCAATTTATAACTTCATCTTCTTCGGTCAACAGTAATCCGATTGACAGTAGCAATTAGGCACATAAGAGACGTGATTAGAAATGAATCTCAAAATGTAAGTTTATTTCTCTTGGGCAATACAAAAATTTCATTTCCATTTCTATTCAAATTTGATTATTAATTAACTGTAATTCTCTAATTTTCTCAGAGTGCTGGTCATAAGAATCTTGTTTCTAGATATATTAACAAACGTTACAAATTTCTGGTCGAATTGTATAAGATTGACAGAGAATCGTGTCAAATGCTTTGCGACAAATTAGAGATCGACTTTAAAGTGCCGCTACCCTATTATTGGCCTTATCCATTCCTAGAGAGAAAACGAACCATAAGAGAAACTTGTGAAACTTATTGTAAGGATATTAAAAAAAAGAAATTAGATGAATATAAGGAGATATTAAACCAGGAAGATCAAATTTGCCGAGGAAAGGCTCGAAAACTGGAATGGATCGAGAAAACAATGGCCGAACACAAGATAACCGAAGATATGTTGCAAGATTCGAAGCCACCCATACATCTCGCTGCTAAATACGTTTACTTGGAATAATCAATTTCCAAATATTTATATCAGTTTATTATCCAATCATCAACTACCCTTGGAATTAGTTGATTAGTGTAGTCCTTTAAAGTAACGATATGATTTGAATAGAACCGAGTTTTGTTTTTCACCAATGCGATTTTTTTAGGCAAAATATTTTGATTGTTTGGGTAAACGGTTGAATATTACACAATTGGTTTAATTTATTAATAGTGAAACTATTATCTTTTAGCAGTAGAATTGCTAGAAACACCTTCACCTGCATCATCGTCAGGTAGGGAGGAAAACTTATTATAACCCATTAACAGATTGAGAGAACCACCGATTTCCATAGGATCCATTGGACTAATTGTTACCACTTGATCAGGTAAATCATAGGTTTTAATTGCTTCTTTTGGTAGGATCGCTTCTAAATCAGGGTCACCTTGTTGATTAAGATAAGCTTGTTTAAGTTTTTCTCGTTTCTCTTTTCTCAATTTGATTCTCAATTCTCTCATTTGTTTGTCAATCTTATCCTTGGCTTTCATTTTTCTCTCCTGTTTCCTTTTCTGAAATCCTGAAATTCAATGAGAATAGATAAAAGTTAGTGTTTTCATTCAAATAATCGGTCAACAATCAACAATAACAATTAAAGATTAGCAGAAAAAAAAACTCAATGGAAAAATATAAAAACAAACCATCTTACCAGATAGATAATCTTTCCGTTCCTCCTCATCAAAGACCAAATTTAATTTCTTGATCTTCTTTAGCTTCTTCTTGCCCATAATTTAACAATTAAATTAATCACAATAAGCAAATTAACCTTTAAATTAACAGAGAAATAAAATCAAAACAATTAAACCAAAATGTCACCAGAAAAACACATGTCCGATTCAGGGAGCGTTTCCAAAGTACAAACTGAAAAAATTTCTTTCAATTTTTTCATTTTAATTGTGATTATTGATAATTTGATTAAAATTGTTATTCCAAAATCAAAATTGATAAGGCAACAATTAAGGTTAATCAAAGGGTTACCATAGGTATAGAAATGGAATTCCGATGATAAGTATTGATAATTAGAAAAAAGAAATTGTATCGAATGAAAATTCTTCAAATTTAAAATTAACTTTGGAATTGAATTAAATTAATGCTCTAAATTAATGAGAGATGGAAAAAATAATCAATTCAATTCTGTTTATTAACCTTGGAAATGAAAATTTCAAGCCTCATGTTGAGGAGAATCAATTAATTGCCTTTGATAAACTAATTTTGTTATTTTAACCTTTTAAATTAGAAAAACGTTTCTTTTAATTTTAAATTGTTGGAAATTCATCAACAATCATCATCCGATGTTTAAATTAAATTGTTGAGCAAATAAACAGAAAATTATCCAAACATTGGCAAAAGTTTCATTCAAGAATCAATCTCTCAGCAGGTAATCAGAAAAAAAAATTAGATCAACAATCAACCAGTAATATCAAATTCAATGACTTTGTAAATGATACAATTTAATTATAACAAAAATAAAAACCAACAGAGTTTCAGACAATTAACCGATTAACTATTAACTAAAGTCCACCATGGAAACAGTTGATACAATTTCAAAATCAATTTAATTGCTCTAAAGATAAATATCGCCTAAAGGGTTGATTTAATTATCCGATTTATTTGTCAAACCTTAATTAAAAAACTGTTATAATTGAATAATTATCAACAATCAAATCATGATTCCCAGAATAAACTGATTAAAGCTCGGAATTGTTGATAAACTTTCATTATAATAATATCAATAAGTTGTGACATGCTCGTAACAATCAACTAATTGTAATAATAATAGTGGTTAAATCATTGAGACGATGAAAGTTATTCCATATACACTTTCATTCAATGATTGAATCTCAAAGAGGCAAAGTTAATCAGAATAAGAATATAAATAAGTTACAATTAAAAGAAAAGTTTAAAATTAAATTATTTTAAATTGTGGTGAATTAATATATTCGGAAAAAGTTAAGAAAAAGATATAACTAAATTTTTCACCAAAGTTCAGATTGTCAATTCTAAATTGTTCCTATTACCATAGGAATCGTTTAATTGTTTTAGGATAAAGATCGTTGTTTAGATCAAACTGAAAAAATGGGCTATGATCTAAATCGTTTCCGTGGACCGGTCAGTTCCGTTGTGATCTGTTGTGTTTGTCAAAGTGTACTCGATGATCCGATTCAAAGTTACAATTGTAAACACGTTTATTGTCGAGGTTGTATTACTCCGATTCTCAATGAGTCTGGAGGCGGAGGTCAATCATCGTCCACTACATCAACACCAAACTCTTCCTCATCAAATCAATCCCTGAACTCAGCGGTCACCAGTTCGACTGTTGTATGTCCCAAATGTAAGAAACCGTTGGCTAAGTGACCTTGAGATACCCAAGAGTGTGAAAACTTTTGTATCCAATTTAGAGATAAAATGTGATTACGCTTCGAACGGGTGTTATCAGTACGTTAAATTGGACGATTTACCAGGTCACCGGGAATCTTGTTCATTTAATCCGGAAAATAGTCTAACCTGTGCCAATAATTGTGGTGCTGTAATGAAACGAAAGGAAATCGCTACACATTGTTGCCTGAGTTACTTACAATCGGTAATCTCAGAGCGAGATAGTTATATTGATGAAGTGGTTAAAGAGTGTCGAGAGTTAAGGTCAGAAAATCGTCGACTCAAGTTAACTAATGGTAAACTTAAGGAAGAAAATGATAAACAGCGAGATGAAATTCGTAAGCTTAAAAATGAACTTGACTCCAAAAAGGGAATCACGTCGCTTCTAAAGTTTGATCTTCTCTACTCGCAATCGAAAGCCGTCTCTGAGGAACATCGTGCCTACATTCGAGAACTTAAGACCAAGGGATTGATCTCTTCGAATAAAGTTTTCGAGTCTATGATTCTTGTCGATATAAATAATTTTACCACCAAGGAATCGAACACAAGAAAAGCGTAAGTTCATCCCACATAATTTTCGATGTTTCGTTCACAATTCGTAAAATTGAGCAATTGAGAGAAAGAGAAGAAAGAAAAAAAAACTTCGATTCTTCAATGATTAGTAAACTATTTTACCTTCGAAATATTATTATTACTATTTTCTATCGATTTAATAAGACAAATTTCGTGACTTGAACATAATTCTGTTGTTTTCTCTCTATTTAATTTCTCCCATCTCTCTATTTCTCATCATGATCTTCATCATGATGATTGAGTTGATGATTAGTTTATTATGATTAGAACAAAAGAAAAGGAAACAAGTTGAAAGAGTGAAAAATTTTCATGAGAAAATGAAAACTTCCAATTATTCACATTTTCTTAAACTTTTCCAACAAGTCAAATACTGAGACAATTTAAAGATTAACCAAATTAAGAACAATTAACTTTCAACATTTAACAATTGATTTTTCATCAATAGTCCTCAAACTTTGACCTTATCAATTGATTAATATACAGTTAAATCGTATTTAAGTCAATCAAACAATCGGGTTATTATCGAATGGAAATTTCTTGTATAATTAAAATTTATTGATTGTAACAATCATGATATCTAATAATTGAATTTATTTCCAAAATCAATGGATATCAACAAATAAGATTCAATGTCAAATTCAATAGCGTTGTTTTACCGAGAAACTAAATCTAATTGTTTAATTATCACTTTCCTATTTTTGTTGTATTCCTTTAGTTAGCTAAATGATTAACGTTAATTGTTGATTATGATTGATTTCATTTCCAATTGAGTCAAAAGTTATTTACATTATATGAGGACATCTAACCTTTCTTGGTGATTAAGTGTTGACCTTAATTGTTGGTTCTATATTTTTCCATTCACAATTAATTGTCTTCAACTGAATCTATTTTTTAACAACAATTGAAAAACATGATTGATTGATTGTTATTTGGGTAAGATAAAAATATCATCATGAAGATCTATTGATTAAATTAACTAAAAGATACAATATCAATGGTGACAATTAACTTGATTATGTTTAGTGAAATGGTAAGAAACTAATCTAATTATGAGTTAGATTATTGTAATGAAAAATACTTTCATTATTAATTTTTGAATCTCTAATTAATTTTGATTAGTAGAAACCACAATTAACCTAATTTATAAATCAGTAAGTTGATGTTCATTTATATGCATATATCTAATGAATTTTAATCCAATTGTAATACCCTAGTAATTAACAACTGTCAATTCTAATTTATAATCATTACAATTCAATTCTTGTTAATCTTTTAAAGTATCAGACAGGAATTAAGTTGACAATTTTAACAAATAATCAGCTAATCGTATTAATTAAAGTGTAATTTATTAGCCATTGTAACGAGATTAACCCAAGTCAATCAATAGTGATTAGTACATTGGGGATTAATCATGTAAAAGTTTTTTCCTTCCTCGGATAAGATTAATGGTGATTAAGATAATTATATAATCATTATTGAAACTGATTATTAGCTAATTGCAAATATTGACACATTTGGTTAACAATTTAATCATCGACCATATGATTTTTCACATTTAACATTGTAATCATTGTTTTAACCATGAATTGTGATCAAGAGATTATCTTTGAATCTTAATTGTGATTAGTTTCGCTTCCCTGATTATTTTGGATCTTAATCATTTTCATCATGATAATCAAAAACACTAAGAGTATAATTAGCATGTCAATCGATGTGGAAATTAAAGATTATCGTTATTCAGAGATAACCAGAATTCATGGAGTTTGATGATTCTGTAAATTGTGAGTCTTTTGCAATTTAAGAAGCTAAAACACAATTAACTGGATGATATAAGAAAAGGACATTCTCTTATCATCTAAGATGATTAAGGATGATAAAAGAATGATAAACTTTTCCATTACAACGTCAACGTTGATTGTTGATCAACTTTTGTTTTCAGTTAATTGCTTGGTTACTATTGCTGAGTTTCCATTCGTTGATTGTTACAGTTGATAAGGACATGATCATCTTCCATAGGGATTTTGCCCCCTCATGAATAGTTTTGGAAATGAGTTTTTTAGATACCTCACAATTTATTGACCTTTTTGTTTCAAATAAATATCTCTCTAGGACTTATACTTTTTGCGTAAAACGGGTTTATAGACGGAAACTTTGAATCAATTTTGTGGCCAAACTATCATACATAGAATAAATTTAAAAACACTAATCAATAGGCAAATTTATGATCTTTATCAATATCTACTTTTTAAATCTGAAATCTTTTGGCTGTAGTGAAGAAATAGATTAAGTGACTTTCATTATTACTGAAAACGGAAATGAAACTCAACACAGTCGATAGACATTTGAATGCTCTACAGTTTATCGAAGTGAAAAGTTTACCTATCGAACTGCGTTTTCGAGATATTCCAATAAAACTATTGACGGAGCGGAAAAGGCTTTACAGCTAATAATAAAAAGATACAAATTTTTTCACATACATTTTGAAAGCGCGATATATAATTCCGGTGAAAAAGGTTAACAAAAATAACCTTAGTTTTCACCAATTTTTCGAGCTGCAAATTAAGTCAAAATCAGCGGTTATTTTTGTTAACCTTTTTCACCGGAATTATATCGGGCAAGCTTTCAAATATCATGTACGTGAAAAATTTTGTTTCTATCTTTTATCATTAGGCTGTAAAAGGCCTTTTCCCGCTCCGTCAATAGTTTTATTGGAATATCTCGAAAACGCAGTTCGATAGGTAAACTTTTCACTTCGATAAACTGTAGAGCATTCAAATGTCTATCGACTGTGTTGAGTTTCAGTTTTCCGTTTTCAGTAATAAATGAAAGGGTCACTTTTTAAGGTCTATTTCCGTTTCAGCGGCTACAGCCAAAAGATTTCAGATTTAAAAAGTAGATATTGATAAAGATCATAAATTTGCCTATTGATTAGTGTTTTTAAATTTATTCTATGTATGATAGTTTGGCCACAAAATTGATTCAAAGTTTCCGTCTATAAACCCGTTTTACGCAAAAAGTATAAGTCCTAGAGAGACAAAAATTGAACTAAATTCTATCATATCTTCTGTTCTCTTTATGTAAAAATTAAATCGAAAATCTGAGTTGGGGGCAGAAATGGATCAAGTCCTTTAATAATTTAGTAACAATTAGATTGGATCAAGATAAGAAATACAAAGTAATGTTGTTAATAATGAAGTTAAGAAGGATATTATCAATTAAGAAAGTAAAAGTTTCAATTGCAAAGGTGAATCATCATCGTGAACGATTAATGATCTTAAGTTTCGTTAGATTAAGTTTATTGTTTATCTATCGATTTGAACTATTATTTTATCGGTTTCATCTCATTTTTGGATGAGAATTTATCATCATGAATATAATAATAACATCCGATGGGTGGAAACTGAGAAAAATCAATCAGGTAAATTGTTGCTCAGGTGAAACGTATTAATGTAATATCATCTTCACCATGATCAGTAATAGATGAATATAATCAATGGTGGAGAAAAAAAGTTCCAACGATTTAACAGAATGATAAAATTCAATAACAAGATGAAACAGATTGAAAAGACTTGAATCAAGTATTGAAACGTTCATTCATCAACATGAACAAAGATGATGAATAATAATAACAGTACAAAAACTTTGATAATAATATTACTTGAGTCGAAAATAATATCTCAAGTCATCAGAACTTTATCTTCATCTTTTTTTCCCATAGAAAAAAAAAACTTTTCATCATTAGATTAATTCCAAGTTTACATTTTCTAACATTCGAAATGAAATGTTACTATTTTCATCACCTTCCCATCAGAAAGTTTTCCTACGATTGAATAAGGAGAGAGAAAAACTTTTACCACATTCAAGTTGAGATAATATTATCATCACAATTCGATAGAAAAGCGATAATCATGTTGTTCATTTTGTTCTTTTATCATCAATTTAATCTTCATCATCATGATCAACTTTCTTCACTAATCAAAAGCTCAAACAATTTTATCGATAAACAATAATGAAAAATATCGATCTTAAATACTTTCAGTTGGAAGAAAACAACAACTCGTGGAAATAGAAAAGAATGAAAAACTTTCATTTCAAATGAACTTTTTCTTCTTCTTTAAATTGTTATCAATCTGAGAGCCGGAAGGAAATGAATAAATATCATGATTGTAATAATATCTTTTTCTTTCTTATATTACCTTTTTCTTCAGTTCTATTTTTCTAACTTATCTCTGATGATGAAGATAATCATCATGAAAGCTTAAAGGTTTGTTTTTGTTTATATCTTGATGAGCTTGAAATGTATTCCAGGTTGAATGGAGCATGAAAACTTGAAGATTTTTTTTCCATGATAGTGGCTTTTGTTTTAACTGAGTAATTCATGAGATAAAGTTCTGAATCAAGCTCTCTTCACCAGTAGTCTCAGGCTTGTAAGAAATATCTATATCTTTGTGATGGGAAATTCATTGGGATTACAATTCAACTCCCTTTTCCCTCCCAACCCATTATGAATACATATCGTTTCTTTTTCTTCCCAGAGACAAGAAGAAAAACTTTAAAATGATGATAACCTGTCAAGTAAAATGTTATATCACATGAGAATGATAAGAAAGAGAGACGAATAAAAAAAAAGTTCTGAACTTTTTCTTTAGAAAACTCGAAAACTTGAACAGTTACAATTACGTTTCATATTAACTTCGTAGTTATTTTCTGTCATTTCTTCCACTTCCTTTTAAATTGTGATCATCTGATAGATTCAATATTTACTTTGATTGTTACACAAAAGGGAAAGGTAATCATCTTAATCTTCATCTTCATGATGATGATAAATAAATGATTCAATTGGATTTTAAAACTTGACTGGTGAATTAACGTTGATTTTTTAACCAGTCTCGTTACTTTTACCATGTATCCATTGTAATCAGTTTGAATCAATTGATTCAATTTCATTGAATATAAAAGAGATAACAAAAAATTCCATCATG